AAGAAAATAGAAAGTAGTCTGCCTAAAGGACCACCTAACCTGACAGAAATCTCAGGAAAATAAAAATATCAAAGAGAGAAAAATCATATTACCTCTAGAAAAACATGCAAAGCCACCAGTGAACAAAGAAAAAGTGTAAATGAATACAGCAAAGAGAACAAATGTAAAGTTTCCAGGAGAGATTGGGTTGGGGGGGGTGCTGGAGCAGCTCTGAACAAAAATACCTTCTGAGCTTGGCTCACAGGGGAAGTTTGGAAATTTAAAGGAGTAGGATGCAGAGGGAAAAAACCTAACAAAGGTGACCGAGAGCATGGAGATACCTACCACTTGGAGGCATTTCAGAAGGGCAGCAGCTGTTAACTTCTGTTTGTTATGTGCAAATGTAGCAAAATTGCTCCAACTTTAACACGGCTTCATCCAGGGTTAAAGTTGCAGTGGCTGTGCTGCATTTATATTATTCTCAGCTTGTTCACAGGTAACTACTAGAATGTAACAGCTGCTGCCTTTTTGAAATGGCCTCAAACACACCCGTGTCCATGCCCTTAGATACCCAGAGCACAAGTGGCAAAGCTTCCTTTCGCTCCCCGGTGACGGGAGAGTAAAGCTGGCTAGTACTGAACTATGGCTGCCCGTAACATGCAGGCAGAAGGTGACAGCTCATCTCTGCCAGCGCTCTCCCCTGATGTAGCTGGCACTGACCACTGCTGGGCACAGATGGACCAGGCATTTCAGCGGCCTGATCCGGTGCAACAATTCTGAAGTTTCTGCGCCACGTGATTAGTCCCGTTTGGTAACAGTCAATTAGCTATCGAAACATTTTATTGGGATAATAAATGCAGAACAGATGTGCAAGGCCAAATTGACTTGCTGGCATACATGAGAGCAAAGGGATTTGGCCCCTTCTGTTTTTTGGGGGGGTGGGGGGATGGTTCATACAGAGGCAGTGGCGAGGCTCTCATCTCTGCCATGCGCTAGCCCGAGAGGGTGACGTCTGGGTGGGTTACCCACTGGGCAGTGTGTGCCAGATGCCACCCTCATCTGCTCCAGGCAGAGAGGCAAATTGGCCTGAGAGCCTGGTTCTTTAATTCAAGCTGTATAAAACTCAGCCTTTCAGCTTGGAGGACCCCAGAACATTAGCCAAGAAGGCAGTTGTCATGCCAGGCCTGTTAGAAGACCTAAGCCCTTGCATTTTGCAATTGGTCCCTTCATCTGAGAAAGGCAGCTCCCTCGGGACCTATCAGCACTACTCCAAGACCCCACCAAATGGACACGCTAAAGAGTATCACTTCCTGGAGCTGTTGTACATGAGCATAGACCTGCAGAGAGGACAGTCCATACAGGACATTAAGGTTTGCCTGGGGAAAGCTAGTCCTACAATCCTTTCAAATAGTAGTTCCCAAACTAAGGCTTGGGACCCTAGGTGGGGTCATGGCATTCGAACAGTAGGGTCCCAAGCCCTACAGAAGCACAATGATAGCAGCCAAGCTTGGACCAGAAATGGGGCTGCGAGCCTGGAAGCAGGGTTGACATGAGAGAGGATTAGGAATTGGCTTAAAGGAATTGGGTCCATTGGGGGAAAAAAATGCTAGGGTAGATTTCCGCTTTGAGGTCATAAAACCTGAGGGGGACAATAGAGGAAAGGAGCCCCTTGCTTCCTTGGGTTGCTTCTGTTTGTTTAATTTGTCTTTAATCCCTTCCTATCAAGGGCCTCGCAGTGACGCATTATTTATGATGCACAAAGTGCCGTGGCAACCATCCCATCCTCTGGAGCCAGCCCATGCTCATCAGCCAGAACTCAGAGCAAAAAACAATGTCTCTGCCTTCTGTGTGGGAGGAGGAGAAGGAAAGGGTTGGAAAAAAAGATAAAGATTTCAAAGTACTTGAGCAAATATTTACAGGTTCCAAGACAAAAATATATCTACAGTGTCATCCGGAGGATATAGGGGCTCAGGCTAGAAGCAAAGGCCACTCGCAGCTCCATTTGTTATATTGATTTATAAAGACTATGTATATTGATTTTCATGGGCTGTGCATTTAGCAAGGATGCGCAACTAGGACGAGACCTGTACTCTGGTGTTGGCAAGGGGCCATGGAGATGACTCCTGCCTGTTCCCTTCTTTGTAAAGTTAAAGTTTTGGAAACACCCCCTTGATCTAGAGGAAGTGTGATGCAAATGGGGAGCTTGCTCCAGGAGTGGAGGAAACCCTAGCTGGGGATTTACCTGTTAATGCCACAGTTTGAAGCAATGTAAGCCTGATCCTGAGAGGTCCCTTCAAGCTGCTTAAGGAGAAACTGGAATGGATCTCTGGGCACATCTGGACTGGGGTTTAGCCATCCCTCATCCATTGGGAAGAGGAAAACTGGAACTGGATTTCTGAAATGGAGACATAAGTGGACTACAGGGGCCCTGAATGCCCTCAGGGATGTGTCTGTCAAGTGAGGAAGCAAATAGAGCCAAAGGATAAGGATGCCTGCGTAGCCTTCAGATGGGGATAGTCCAGGCTGGTGGCCTAGGGACTTCGTGCTGTGTGTGCCGTTGCCAGTCCTCTGAGCCTCACAGAATGACAGCACTAGCCAGGGCCATGGGTGCTGTGCACAGACATTGTGGAAGCTCCTTTTGAACCTCTGTGTCCATGCCCCTCCATCCTGCCCCAAAGCTCCCAGGCCCTGGCTCCCTGCACGCAGTCAGCCAATGCACCTCTGTCCCTACCCCTTTGTCATGTCGATAAGAGGCTTCTGCGTAGATGCCCAGCTGAGTCTCCCTTGCTCCAGCCCCTTCCTCCTGCTGCGCTGAAGTGCCATGTCCTGGCTGGTATCAAGCACACAAGGGAGGACTGTGCCGCAGAGCAAGACCTGCTGGAGAAAGTGGCAGAGGAGCCGCGTGTAGGTAACCGCATGCTCCAAGCTGACCTGTTGCCCTTGGACAAGTAACAACAGCTTGTTGTGCCACTCGCTTCCTCCCATGGGGAAGAGGCTGTTTGTTCCCCTCTCTACATGGCTGAACTTTTGGCTGCCAGGCACCACTTGCTTTTCTCCCCTTGGGACAAGACAGGTGGCAGAGATGATACTAATTTGTTGCAGTTCAGCGAAGGTAGGTTCCTCTCGGGTGACTTCTTCATTGGCACTTATGGGCAGAAAAACATGATTTATAGAGTTGGATAAATAGATCCCAAGCCTGGAAGGGCTTTGACCTGGCTCTGGTTCAGACCCAGCATGGAGATAACAGATCTCTGTGCCGGTTTGAGAGCGGAGGTCTGCACCTGGGTTTTGGGTTGTGCCGTGTCTCCAGCTGACAGGTTACCAATGAAGCTTCAGATCGTATGACTCAAAAGCAGCTGTGTTGCTTAATAGCTGAGGGCCTGCAAAGAACCATATGCACGAGTGACTCTTTTTTGTCTTTGCTTTGCTGAAAAATGTACACGCTCGAGGCTTTTTCAGGATTGGGCCCCACTTTTCCAGAGCAAGGTGTAGGCTTCCCGTTGCCATGTCTGTGCTGGAGGGGAAGTGGTGAGTGAATTCATGTGAAAGACATTAGCTTGACAGCCTTTCTCAACACTCAACACCTGGTTATCCACAGAGAAGGGACCGCATGGGCTGAGGGACCGGGAGCTTACCAGGGTCACGTCTCAGCTCTGACCACCCAGCTGCCCAGCCACTGTGGGATCAAGGCTAAGCTTGAAGCCTTAAGACCCAGTTCTGGCGTGACTTAGTGAGTACCTGGGACCTATCCTCACATCTGAGATAACGTTGCAGTGTTGTGCCTCCAAAAGTCTGCTATACCTCCAGTGGTCTGCATTGTACCCTGGAACGTGCACATGCATGCGTGTGTGTGTCTGTATTCACAACCGCAGTTGTTAGAGCACAGCAGGCAGCCTATACAAATAGCCAGTCTCATTGGGAGTAACCAGTGTGTCCTCTAAGCTCACAGGCAAATTCTGGATATGTTTTACCTCTTAGCTCAGAGGCCTGGGTTTCCTTGTCCCGGGCCCTCTGCAGAAGGTAGCTCTTGTTCTAGTTAGTGCTAAGTTGTGCTTGAACCTTTCAGGAGTAACCCAAGGCTGAAAGAGCAGAAGTGGCTGCAGGTCAGGACTCCACAGTAAAATCACAGGTGGGTGCAACTGGGCTAGAATGACACCTTGGCAGAGCTGGGACAGGGTGGTGAGAGCTGTAGAAGGAAGGGTGCTATGGGCTGAGGTACATTGATATAGGGGGTGTGGGGCCAGGCTGTAAAGGGGGCTGTTGGGTAAGATTGGGGTGTATTGGCAATGCTATGTGCAAGGAAGCACGTAATGGCCAGATGGGTGAAGCTGCACTTGCAGGAAGGATCTCAGAGCACCCTGTCAAATGTTGCTCTCATTTACCTTGGCACATGTTAGAAGTAACTCCAGTTCAGTAGGTCGAGTTAGTCTGAATAGACCAGGATTAGATAAGTGATTGCTTCCATGATTCAAGTGCTCACCAAGAGGGAGACACCTGCATAGTCAGGATTTGGATAAGATGCCTGCCTTTGTCCAGCTGGAGCAGTGCAGGCTGAAGTCACTGCCCCAGTAAGAATAGCTCAAGTAGCAGTGACACACAGATGGTACTCACTGGCTTACAGATGACAGTAAAGCACTCGATGGCCAAGATGACTAGCAACCACAGGGCACCCTGAGCTAGCAGGAACCAGAGAGAGAGCAACCTAACAAGAGTGTGATGAGAGCGGTCCGAGGCTGCACAGACTGGGAGCCTGGTCTAGCGGCTGCAGCATAGGATCAAGGAGCAGGGTCGCATTGGTGAGATCAAGGACCAGCAACCTCTCCTTTTACAGCATCTAAATGGAGCTTACACAGGGCACAAAGACCATCTCTCAAGCATCCTAGAGCCAAGTCAAATGCTTAGGTGCCTCCCTCAGTATCCTGGAGCCCAGTGTAGCTCCAGGGATCACTGCTTGAAGTGCTCATCATTTGAAGTCAGTGGGCCTAAGTCTGACTTGGTGCAAGCAAGTGCAGCTCCAGTCGTGTGCGTTTGCTGACAACCACGGCTGAATCCAGCCTTGTGGCTTTAAGAGCATATCCAGTAAGCCTGTTCCTGCCACAGGTGGGGAAGCCAGGGCAGGTGCTTGTGTGTGCACACATTTATTTATCAAGGGGTAATCACACCTCAGGGGATCTTGAGCATTTAGCCTGTGCTACGAGCCTGTTAATGCCACCAGCAGGTGATTATCTGCTGATAACTACACATTCTGCTCCACTTCTATGAAGAACAGCAGCTCCTACTGCTTCCCATCAGTGTAAACTTTCTTCCCCTTTTTTTCCTTCCCCATAAATCCAGGCCCTCCTTGCCTGTTGCTGCGTAGAAATGGGAACCTGAATAATAGCAAGCGCCTGAAAGAGTGTAAAGGGCTGGCAGCCGCTTTCTGTTCTCAGGCAGAGATAGATCTCCCTACTTCCTGATGGAGACCAGATATTATTTACAATCCCAGGTACAGACCTAATGAATTCAGCCTCTTTCCCTGCCTGCAGCTTAAGCTGTTTCTTCGGAGGTATTCATGATTGGAAATTACAGTTCCCCCACCCCTTATCTTTTAATACTTCACTGCTTGATTGCGATCCCTTCTCTGCAAGGGTTTGTTCTTTGTGCTGTGTTGCAATTGGCCAGCTATGTCGGAAGCGACTGTTTCTGTTTGCTGAGAGTGTGGCTATATAATTAATTTGCACGCCTTTATTGCAAGTGTTTGTGTCAGCGCGCTTCGCTCATGCCCATGTCCGCAGGAGTGAAACATCAAAGGGCCTTGAGCGCGGTCGGATCAGGTGTGTCTAAAAGCACAGCTGAATAGTCACCGAAAATTTTCTGCGGGATTTGCAGAAAACATCATTTTCTGCTCAGAACATGATGGGCTGCACTCTGCTTCCAGTCCTGGATGCTGGCCATGTCATCTTTCCACTTCCTGAGTGCAGCCACGTCTGCCTTCAGCCCCCTAGCACGCAGCACAGCCTTGCTTTGCTCCTGGGTTTGGATTATGCATCTTTGCCTCCTCCATGATATGCCACAGGCTCCTCTGCTGTGGCCCAGACAGGACCCATCTTGCCCTTTCGCAAGCAAATGAGACCTTTCTCTCCCTCTCTGATTGGACTTTCCTTCCCCTCCCAAATACTGACCAGGTCCATCTTTTGTTCTTAAAAAATGGCATGGCTCCAAACGCTGCGGCTTTGCCACTGTAAGATGCATTGCTTCAGGCTGCTTGTTTTACATAAAGGCTATAGATAGCACCTTCCAAAGAGAATCTGGGACAGTCTTCCTTGCTCCAGGAGCCCTTACTGATGCACCAAGCAGATTTTGCCCTCCCCCACAGAGACAGATGTCTTCTGTTTATCCCCAGAACTGAACAGTGCAGGGCGAGTTTCCATGCAGTGCTTCCTGACCTGGAAAAAGGCCCATGAGGGAAGTTCTGGCTGTTTTAATCCTTGGTCTCTCAGCTGAAGCTGCCAACACATGAGCACAGTTATCACTTATGAGATGATGCTCATGATCTTGCATTCTCAGGATGGGACAAAGCCCTATGCTGGAAGAAATGCATTAATAACCATTTATCATTGGGATTACACAAATGTGTAGGAGCCCCAGTCATGGGTTTGGGACCAAGTTGTGCTGTGCAACATGGAACAAAAAGTGCAATGATGTCCCAAAGAGCTTACAAACTAATAAAGTGTGGGGGCTTTTCTGGGCAAATGACTCAAAGAAATTACTTTGTAAGCCAGATGCTGTTACGATATCGGTCTGCCGGGCAAAGCTGGTGATGCTTAGGATATGGGCTGAGGACAGATGGTGCTGGTGGGCTTGGGCTTCCATGTGGATCTGCCTCCCAGTCTTCCTTGCAGTACAGAAAGGAGGTACATTGCTTCGGCTCTTCATTGCTATCACGGTTCTGAAGGAGGTAAATGAAGATCTAAACCTGGTCTCGTGCTCTTCAGGAGACGGTGACTGAGAAACTTTTCCTGCTTTGTATGGTGGGCTGAATTTAAACCTGTCCCGTTATTTCTCTGTGCCTTCCTCATATTGCCCGTGTGTACAGGAGACCAGATCGTAATGGATTCCAGTAACTGCTAGAGATCTTGAACCAGAACCCAGATCTTCTTCAGACCATGGGAATGATCAGCTCCGGGTCCAAACTTTGCTACTGGAGACCCACGCTCTCTAATGGACCTCAATCAGATCATCAAGTCTGAACCTTCTCAGAGTCGAGGCAAGTTGGGATGTGGTCTTCCTGGCTTCGTTCCTAACCATTTCCAATCTGGGCTGGATCCAAACCACTGATCTGTGAATCAAGAGACTCTATATCCAGTATCTCAGGGGTTCTCAAACTAAAAAAGGGGTCGCTAACTTCCCAGGGGTACGCACGGCGGCACAAGGAAGCGGTGTGTGGAGGCGGCGCGGAGTGGTGGATGGCAGCAGCTGCCATGTGCAAGCTCCCTGTCCCCTGCTGCCACCAACCAGCGCTCCACGCCACCACTGGGGTCGTGGTACCACAATGTTTTAAAACCCCTGCAGTATCTCAAGGGTTTCTGAAGACCACGTTTCAAAGAGATGTGTGTCAGTGTGTAGTACCTGAGCACAATAACCCCCACACACTCGCCTAAGTAAAAGTCCCAAGTATGCACGTGCATATGTTGTAAGGTCTGTATCTGTAACCAGCTTCAGCCAAAGAGGTTGTAACCAAAAAAGTAATGAAAAAAATGTCTGATTTCACACCGATAAGAGGGCTGTATTGTTCTGGACTGGAGCACTGTGAAGCTAATGTGACTTAACAAACTAAGCCACCCAGCTGCTTTCAAGGAGCCTGCACAATGTTACTAATATAATGTCCGGATGCTGTGAGACGGTAGGTTCCAGGCTTGCTGGCTCCTAGAGATACAATCTAGGGATCAAATACTCAGCCAGGACAAACCTGAGTAGCTCCATTGATTTCCTCTCTGGCCCTAGGTATAAAGTTGGCAGAGTTCCCTTCCCACCTTCATTCTTTTCAGGAGCTCGGCTTCCTTCCCTTTGCAGCTTCTGGTAGGGGAAGCAAACGTCAGGCCAGATATCACAAGCTCTGCTCTTTGCTTGATTTGAATCTAGATGTTCATCAGGTTAGCAGCAGGCAGAGCAACACCCAAAGGACTCAGCTCAACTTGGCGGAGGAAAATACTTTGCTCCGGACATATTCAGGGCAGAAATGTAGAGTCCTCCAACATCTTTTATCCACTAAGAGTGAAAATGGAAAATGGTGGTGTCTGTTAGACGAGGAAACTCTTATACATTGCATCCCAGAGGTGAGCTCCATGGCTGTATGAACAGCTTCATGCCCAGGGTGTGACTGGAGAATCAGGTAACATCTGATGAAAGTGGAGATCATGTGTCTTTTCCAGTGCAGTTCAGTGGCTTCTGTCCTCAACAGATGGATGTTTTCTTCTCTTTGGGCCAGAGACTTTCTCTTATTAGGTATTTGTACTACACCTAGCACAATGTTTGGCCTAGTTTTTAGCATCTGTGCCACTGGATTGACCATCCTAGTTCTTCTTGGTCTGCAGAGCCAAGAACTGCAAAAGGAAGGCTGGTGAACAAACCATGGACCAATTCTCCTTCCAATTTGCGCAGCAAAGTAAGAACCACGTTAATAAAAATCCATCAGGAAACAAACAGGCCTTTTGAACCCTTCCCTCCAGCCCACACATGTCCTGAATGCACCAGCCTGACTCCCCCAGAGGGAGAAATTCCACCTCGTTGTCTTGCCCCGGCTCCCAGTTGGCCTCCCAGACAGAAGCGATCTGGTGCAATGAGTTAGCTTTGCAGCACTGAAATATGGCTTTGTGACTTTAAAGAAGGGCTCCAATGCCCCATCCAGCTGCTGCACGGGTCTGATGAAGAATATATACACTCCTTCTCCCACACCCCTCACAGTAAATTATCTGCAAGAGTTATGTGAAGGGAATCATTCCCAGGTGCAAGACTGGAAGCTGAAAATCTGGCCCAAGTGGCAGAATTATGTTAAGTGCATTTGGCTGAGTTTATAATGATTTTCTCTGAAAGCTTTGTATGAGTCTCTTAGGAAGGACAAGAACCAACCCCAGACAAC